GAATATCAATAAAGAGATAATAAATCTGATAATTCTCTGTGATTTGCTCTGGTGTGAAGCTACCAGGGAAGCCTTGTGCAGTATGAAGATTAATTCTGGTACACATTTGTTAGGGTGACAAATGCTCCATGCCAGAACTGTGGCTGGTGAAAAATTCATTTCAAATTAATTCCAAACTTTATTTTCTGTAATAATCTGCTGTCATAAAAGTGAGTAGCAACAAATGGCAATTGCTGAGGGTGTTTTCAAAAGGGAACTAGACTCCAGGTTTACAGGATGAGTTTTGCAGCTTTTTTTTTCTTTTGTGGATCTCCCACTTAATTTCTGTTCAGCAAACATTTATTTCTTTGCTGTTGTTCTAAATTTTGAACAATAGTAAAGATAACAATAAACCATTAAGTATAACATAGTAAATGCAAAGCCACAAGAGATAATATATATATTTAGATATTTAATACCCTACCCCAATTAGATACATTAGTCCTAAGTCCTTTGTGAGAAGGAAAAAAAAAAGTCCCATCAGGCACAGTCCTGAAGTCAATATTTTTTTGTTTCCTTTGACTGTCATAGGTATAAAATCCAGTATATAGTCTAGAAATTATGTTGCATGTGTTACAGACTAATTATATTAATCCATAATTTATTTACTTTTTTTCCCATTTGTCAGACACCTTTAGTAAAGAATCCCAGCACTTCTTTTTTCTGACTTAATGATGTGAGAGAAGTGACGTTTCTCAGGGCAAACTGGCGCTTTTGGAATTTTTTTTAATGTTTGAAAAATTGAGAATTCTGTTTGTGACCTTCATTCTAAAAATTAGCAAAATTACCTGCATATTTTCAAATTAACTCTAGATACTTTGAAGATTAAGACTAGTACTTTAGCTATCTATATCTTGGTCAGTGAAGGAAATTTGTATTTGTTTTAAAAATAAAGCAGATAAAGTAGGGGTTGAAGTTTCAGTTTATAAAAATAAAAGGTGAACAACTATTAATTCAAACAAAATGTTATTTTCATTATTTGTCTGCTAAATTTGGCATTTGGACTGTAGATTTTTAAAAACTTTATAGATTTTTTTTTTAATATTGCCTAATTTTTTGCTGGACATAAGTCTGACTGTGCCTTAAAATTAAACAGAATACTCTTTGTCTCCTTTGTTCATACCACCATCCTATCACAGTATCTGCCTTTTGTAAATCAAGATAAGAAAAAATTTATGTTGAAAGCAAAGTAGATGATGGAATGCAAGCATCCCCCTCACCTCTGTCAGTGAAGTCTTGTTCCTCAGGAACACAGGCTCTGCTGGTGCCACTTCCTAAGCTCTTTCATGCTGACTTTTGGAAAAGAGCAAGATTCCTGCAATGCCTGCTCAGCCAGTGCTGGCTGTTCAGCACTGCACCAAATGTATTTTTTCCAAATATCAATTTTTCCCCATTTTATATGCAATTTTTTAGGCAGGCCTGTGATCTTTTCTGCAGATGTTGGAAAAAGCACAACCTCTATCCCTCAGGTGCAGGTGAGAAGATGAAGCCCAGAGAACCTGATTTCGAGGGCTCACCTCTCCAGGATAACAACTAATGTGGGATGGGGTCACAAGATGGTTTGAATTGGGACTGTGGTTGGGAGCAGAACGTTCCTGCATCTTGCTTTTAGCAAATGGTTCAAACCATAGAATTCTTAGGCAAAGCATGGAAGGTTTTACTTAACTTTTATTTTTTTAGTGTGGAACGCAGCAGGCCATGGATATTCCGTGGCAGTTTGTTCCTATTACACTTGCCTTAAATAAGAGGTTATCCTCATTCCTTCTCCAAGGGAAGAACTGTAATAGCATTTAGCATTTAATGTCTCAGTATCATAAAATTTTGTTTTGGTGGTTTTTCTCCTCCTATGAGTTGTCTCTCTGAGAATTTGGTTTTGTTTTGCTTTAAGAACAAAAAATTTTGATTCCCCTTGTAGCTCTTCTTCTGATATCCTACAAGATATTGATTTCAGAGAGGTGTTTTGCAGCCCCTTATGAAAGACTTACACTTTATAATTTTGAACATAACATCTTATTGAACATAGCTTCTTAGTCTATGGACTTTGATCCATCTTCGTAATTTATATATAAAAAGCCAAGCTCAGCTATGAAGTAGAGAATGCTGATGGTGGACCTCATTTCAGCATATTCAAAGTGGATTTGACCAAAGTTCCTTGACACAGATGAATTTGTATCAAGTACTATTCATAACTTCTTTTCCCCCAAAAGATTTCATTTGTTTTAGGGCAGAAGTACATGTTTCAGGTTATTCTATGCTTTTTATTAGGAGTGACTTTCACGTGAATGTGAATAGGGACATCAGGTTATGCAAACTGGTAATGAAGGAGAATGTCCTACTGTGCTACGAGTTTTATATTGAATGGCTACCACTTGAGGGACTGAAATTTCCTTTTAGTCCTTAAGCCACATAGCAAAAACAACAGCAGTGCCTGATGGCATTAAAATATGTATTTCAAAGGCTAGAAATGTTATGCAAAGAGTAGTTGAAACACAAGAATTTTACTTGTGCATGGGTTTGTGTGTGGAGATATCTGTGTATGCTAATAAAGAAAATAGTTAGAAGCATGTCAGGCTTGTTTTCATGTTTGCATCTCCCCTTCAGTGTGTCTGTGTGTGATGGTTGGAACCATTGGTCTCTTGTGGTTTAGTCTTGCATCCATGTAAGTAGATACCCAAACATGACAAACACACTGGGACCAGTGTTATTTAATATCTTCATTAATGAAAAAGACAAAGGGATTGAGTGCTCCCACAGCAGGTTTTGCAGATGGCACCGATCTGAGGAGTGTGGGTGACACAGCTGAAGGATGGGATGCCATCCAGAGGGACCTGGACAAGCTCAAGAAGTGGCCCTTGGGAATCTCATGAGGTTTGACAGACCAAGTCCAAGGTGCTGCACCTGGGTCAGTGCAACCCCAGCACCAATGCAGGCTGGGCATGAGCAGAGCCAGAGCAGCCCTGGGAGGAGGAGCTGGGGGTGCTGGTGGGTGAGAGGCTGGCCATGGCCTGGCCATTGGGAGCTCCCCCCGTGTGCTGGGCTCATCCAGAGCCCCGTGGGCAGCAGGGCAGGGAGGGGATTCTGCCCCTCTGCCCCCTCTGCTGAGACCCCACCTGCAGGGCTGCATCAGCTCTGGGCTCCAGCACAGCAAGGACAGGGACCTGCTGGAGCCAGGCCAGAGCAGGCACCAAGGGGATCACAGGGATGGAGCAGCTCTGCTGGCAGGAAGGGCTGAGAGAACTGGGATTGTTCAGCCTGGAACAGAGAAGGCCTTGGGGTCACCTAATTGGGGCCTTCCAGTGCCTGAGGGGAGCCCACAGGAAAGATGGAGAGAGACTATTTACAAGGGCCTGGAGTGACAGGACAAGTGGGAATGGCTTCAAACTGACAGAGAATATTTTTAAATTAGAGGTTAGGAAAGAATTCTTTCCTGTGAGGGTGGTGAGTCCCTGGCACAGGTTTCCCTGAGATGCTGTGCCTGCCCCACCCCTGTAAGTGTTCAAGGTTGGATGGGGCTCTGAGCAACCTGGTCTAGAGGAAAGTGTTCTTGCCTACGACAGGGGGTTGGAATGAGATGATCTTTAAAGTCCCTTTCCAACCCATCCCATTCTATGATAATTTAACATTTGAGATTCATGAAAGGGATTTATATTAGGATCATTTGCTTCGTATTTGTGTATAGGTAAAATATGTATTACTTTCAACTGAAAAAGAAATGTATCTTGTAGAAATAGTTATTTAATCTCAGATACATCAGTTACAAGGAAAAATATTTTATTTCTATTCTGTCAGTAGGCACCTGGTTCACAAACTTCTTAGAACAGGTTATTGAAATATATTTATTTTCTGTCTTCAATCATGGAGAGAACTTCAAACTCCAAAAGAAACTTTGGTGCAAGATATTCTCACCTTGTCTTTAAATGATATAATTTATCTGTGGCTCGCATACCTCAGTGTGTTAGTGGGGGTTCTGCTACTCCAGACAAAGAGGGAAAGAGAGATATAAAGTATTTTGTACTTAATATAATAAAGTATTACATTGATCTCTTGTAAATTTGATTGTCACACTACTGAAGTTATGTATGTTTACAAACTATCTTGAATTTGGTTCAAAACCCTTTGAAAAGAGAGTACCTGAAGATAATGTTTATACATTTTGTATATTTTTTTTAATTGGCTTTGTCTTTCTTGTGGTCTCAGCTTGCACTAAAATAATCAGCTTCTCCCTCTCCAGCTTCCCTTTCTCTATGTGTTCATATTGATTGTACACAAGTCTGTGTGGATTTAGGAGCAGTTTCCACTTTGGTTAATGCATTATCAGAAAAAATAATGAAATTCCAGTTATATGACCATCAATTTGATAAACACTCTTTACTTCAATTCTGTCTAGTTCTACAGTGCTTATCTTCACACTTCTACTGTTAGGTGGTGGAGTCATCATCCCTTGAGGTGTTCGAGATGTGGCACTCAGTGCCATGGTCTAGTTGAAAAAGTGGTGATTAATTTTCCATCATAAATGGTTCTGTGGGATATTTTGAAACTGTTATCATGGTAGTTAACATTCTATTGCATCCTGGATACTTGGCAAACACATGAAAGCTTACAAATTTTTACTTGTCTTTACTTCTAAACTGTTATAAACTCACTACTTCTAAATGGTGAAAATCAATTTTTCAAAGAAAGGCACTTTATTATATTTGTAAATAAGATCCATAAAAACATGGCTTGAACTCCAGAAGTCAAGTTGAATTTGCCAGCTTGAGGAGGGGGAAGGTTTTTTTGTTTGTTTCTCCATTTTTTTTTGTTGCTGTTTTTCTAATTTTTTTTTTTCTTTGTGAAACATTGAACTTTACAAGCGTGACTGGAATTAAAATAGTATTGGAATTATACAGCACAGTGAATTTACAGAATCTTTGTTTCTGAAAGAGCTGTGATTTGGTTTTATTTTACAGGACTGGAAAGAAACATTTTCCATAGATGTCAGCTTCTGTCTCCTGTGATGCTCCACTCTGAGTGATGCCATGTTCAGCACTGAGTAGTACTGGCAAAGGAGAGCAGCTTCTCAGAATGAGGTAGGTTTCATTCTCTTCCACAAGGCCTGATGAGGCTCTTCATAGTCACTTTTCTGTTTAATATAAGTGAAGTCAGATAAGTATTCCAAGTCTGACTTCACCTTGACTTGTCATTGGATTTGGTGGCTTCCTCTGTGTTGGTATTTACCCAAGAGAGTAATTAACGAGTCCAGGTGTTGTAGTGGGCTACAATGTTCCATGAACTTTCATTTGTGTCACAGATTTGTTCCAGAGCATTCTTGGGCTGCTGTGACTGTTACCTGTGACTAGAGGTGCACTCTGTAGTCCTCATGCATGTGTCCTCAGAAAGAGCATATCTTAGTTGCCCTTCCACAGGCAAGGTTATTTCCTAATAGAATGGTTTCCAGAGAGTGATTTGAGGAAAGTGAAGAAAGCTTGCATATTATTATTATTTTTTTTATTATTATTATTAGACATAATCTCTGGTCAAAGTGCAGTGCAGTGAATAGGTACTGCCTAAAGGCCTTGGTTCTCTTTTACTATTTTCTCAATGGTGGTAAAAGACATATTGAGGTGAGAGTTTGTTACTTAAAACATGGGACTGGTAAATATGACACAAAACACACAATAGACCCACAGCCATCTGGAATGGCAGCTGAGCCCTTGGCAGGATTCTGTAGGGTATGCAAAATGCATGAGTTGCCTATGCTTAGCAGCCCTATCCTATATGTCAGATTTCTCTTTCAGGAAACTGTAAAAGCTGGTTCAGTTTGGATTGTGATAGATTAGAATCCCAGATTCAGAGGTGATGTTGGAAATGAGGGGCAGCAGGAGACCTGCAAGGAAACAAGGGTTGAAACAAAGCAAGTAAAGCAACAACTAGGAAAGTGTTGGACAGTAAAGGGGGGGGCTTAATTTATCTTATTCTCCATTGATTGCCTTTCCTCCTTACACTCTTCATGAGCTAGCAACCTTCAAGTGAGCAACATCTTTTCTGAGTTATTCTGTCGTGCATTATTTCACAAAAAGAAATGTATTAATTGCTCTGTGCTGTACTGCATCCCCTTATTGTGTACCAAGTGTAAGGGAAAATATTACAGTCGGTCTCTGACATGTGGAACTAATTTGCCTCTGTTGGAGTTCAGGGAGAGGTCTTGGCTATAACAGTGGATGAAAACATTAGGAATTATAGGCACCTCACCTCATGATGCTTCATTTGTAGTTTACACTTGCAATGATATACTATGGATAAAATATGGGGACCATATCCTGGCCCCATTGAAATCAGTAGGAGTTTTTCTCTTCATTTCAACGAGGCCGTGACCCTGGGAATCTCTACTGGCTCCTGGTGAAGGATTTGTTCCATTCCTGCCCCTAACCAGACCTCCTCTGAGGACTTAGTTTTTAATATTGCTACCAAATCTGCTTCTTAGGTAATAATTCTCTCTTATTGAAGTTTATTTTTTCTTGATTTGGGATGTCCTATGTTCGAAGGAAACATGTTTCTATACCTATATTTTTCTGCCCTTAAATATAACTGTATCGTTATGGGTAATTATAGACTGAATCTCAGGAAATAGTATCTGATGAAAAGATAAAGGACTTCAGAACAATTTACCAAGGGATAGGATGGCAATCCTACAGGTAAGGTATTATTATGCAAGAGCTGCAGGAAACAAGGCTTAACTCTGAGAGGAAAACTAGATCACTTAATAGCTCTTTAATATCATCAGTTTCTATGGCTGGTAATTCTTTCATGAGCATATTGTGGATTTCCCCCTTTCTAACAGTTCGGATTTGATTAGCTGTGTCCATGGATGAAAATGAAAGTACTTTACTATTATTCTTGCTATAGTAATATGTTCTTTCACACTCCCACATCTGGAGCATGTGCTGCCCAGAGGTCATTCATAACTTAAAAATCCTTTGACTAAAGGGCACTGCACAATATTTTACTTTTATCAGCTGATCAGTGGAGCTCTTTGCTCTAACATATTCCACTTATTGTGTAGCCATTAGAGTACATTAAAATTGTTGTCTGACATATGAGGATAAATTTTTGATTGCCAAAAACATGAATGCTACACCAAAGCTATTTCTGACTCTGATATATTTTTAATGCAATTATTAATTGTTTCTGAAAAAGGGATAGATATAAAATGCTCTAGATAAGAGTGTGCTCTTATCTAATTTATCGGTTTCAATATCTCAGGTTCATCATCTCCTGTTGGAAGTTTCATTCTATTGGTGTATCTTGTTTTAGGAATTTTACTGTGTTTTTCATTAGAAATCTCTCCCAGTTTGGGCTGGGTTTTAAGAAGTATGCAGTTTATGCAGTGCATCTCTCCATATGCATCTGTATGCTCTGTTGGGGGTTTGAAGCTGAGTGGTAGAGATATTAAAAATGTTCTCTTCTGCATGTTCTGGCCCAAGTGTCCATATGAATGTTCTGTTATGCTTTGTTACACAAAGTTATGCTGGGAAGGAAGGCTATGAAGGTGTTAAGCCATTTTTTGCCTAGTCCTATGGTGCTAATTTACCATTTTCTGCTCCTTGCATTTTGCATCATTCCTTTAAAACTGTGTAAAAAACATATTTTTCATCTTGAATTCCTTTGCCTTTACTCTCACAGATAAGTATCGTGGCTCAGGCCAGTGTCAAAGGTGTTTAAAATTACAGAAGGGATGGGGGTAAAGTATTTTCACCAGGGAAGAATCATGATGTCTGTCTACCATGGGTGCTGCTGCTTTTAGTTCCCTGTGCTCTTCTTGGTGTCATTGTTTGTCACCTTCTGTACTGAACTGTGAGAGATGTTTAGGGCAGTCATGTTGAGTACATGTATATTATATGAGTAATGAACCAAAATATTGAGTCTTGCTTGTTCCTGTTGCTTTTGGATCAACTCACTGAATCAATATTAATATTTTGCTTTGTTAATTAACTTGGCAAAGCAAACCACTCATTCACCTGAAAGAGTACCCAGAAAACAAGACCCTAGTGTTCTCCTCACAGTTGTTACAGATGCTGAAGTATTTGAAGTATCCTGTAGGTATAGTCCTACACTAATTTGTAAAAAATGTAGTATAAGTAAATCCATTTTTTAATACAAGATTTCATAGTGATAAGAATGTTTGATGGAGGGAAAAAGATTCACTGCAATTTGTAACTTGGAGAACACAATCCATTTGACTCCTTTTTCTGTATAATACAAAGAGTTCATCTGTTGCACAATGTTCATTTTTAATTAAACATTTTATCATAGCACAGCCTTTTATTGACATTCCTCATAATAGAGCTGATAAGATCTTGACCTACTCTTCAATACAGCAATGTATAACTCAATACTCTGGCACACACTGCTCCCTTCGGAATTAAACCCACACTTTTCTGATTCAATTTTAAAATTGTATGTACTTTTGGTCCTATTTATTTACTTTAACTATTTATACCCCTTTTTGACTTAAACATTTTGGATGGAACCATTTCTTGGGCTACCACTTCTGTTTGCTCAAGCTTTTACCTAGCTGGACCACTTCATTAAATCTTTTTCTCCTTTTTAAAATTTTGCAATAAGAGGTGATTTAACACCTAATCTTGTTTTCTACTTTACCTTTTGTGTACAGTTTTGATTAGGTGTGCTAAATTCATTCACTATTGCCTTAATAATAGGTTTATAGAATTTCTGCTACCACAGAAATTCCTTTAGATACTTCATGAGAAGAGATTCCTGAAGATGTCCCCAAAGATGAACAACAAAGCTGATCCCTGCCAGTAACCTTAACCAACCCTTTGATATAAAACTTCCCAGGACCTTGTGTTTAGCCAGACTGATAAGCACCCCTGTAGCTTGGCAGGATTTTGTCACCTGCAGAGGACCGGCAGCAGGGGAGTGGGAACCAATCCCTCCAGTTGGTAGTGGAAGAGATCTGGAGACAAGCTGGCCACAGAGCAGCATCCAGAGGGAATGAGCCTAAAGTACACTTCCAGGGTTTGCTGTTTCCTGCACTGGGTTTTATTATTCCTCTAGATGGGAAAACCAGAATTCTCTAATGTTTTGCTGCAGCAAATCACCCCTTCTGAGTTGAGCACCTGCCATAATCACCTAAATTTCTGAGGACCATCAGGTGTTGCAAGACCCCATTTCTCATTAATCTCCACACCTCTTGCTATATCAGCTGTGTAGATGATAATGGCTCAACTGCCTCATGCTTCTCTTTCATACTTTGCAGAACAGTTTTGCTGTTCATCCTTCTCATGCTGCAGGCCTTCCACTGTTCGCTATAAACATATATTGATTTGGGCTGATAAATTGGAGGTAATTTAATACCCATTTGAAATTATTTCACGTAATAAATTGCAGAAAATGCAGAACTGCCTTTCTCTTGAGAAGAGCTTTAAAGAGGGAGGAATATTCAACTGCTGAGGATGTTTTCTTACACTTTTTAATCTTGCTTGGTCAGCATAGAAGTTAAAAATCATGCAGGGCCAATGACAGTAGGAATTTACCACATGCCAAAATATGTATAGTTCAAAGTTAAACCTTCCAACCTCTTTGGTCTTCAAAAAGCTCCAGATCTTTGTGGATAAATAGGTCTGTAATGAATTTAAATAAGTACTTCCTAGTTCTCTGAACTAAACCTAGATTTTTTTATTTTTCTTTCTCCAAATCTATAAGAAAATATACTGCCATGTTACTGGAAACATAGAGTGCATGACTTGAAAGAGACAGTGCATGGAGCTTTTTTAATTGTTCTAAAAGGGAACAGTTTATGCAAAAGGAGCAAATTCATGGCCTTCTACACCCACCTGAGTTGCAGAATTGTGAAAATACAGCCAAGGTGTGTCTGGGGTACCTAGGACCCTGTGAGCACAGGTGCTACAAGCCACAGGGGCCTCTCTCTCTTGGTTGCCTCTATCATCCAGGCTGGATTGATGAAGCCAAATCAGGGAAATGCCAGCAGAGCCCCAGGGCACTGTTGGCAGTGCAAACACAGCTGAAACATCACAGGTACAGGGCCTCACCATACCCAAGAGAGGAG